TAAGTATCTACTATTTTTTTTTTTGAACAGTAAAAAGCTTATGTTTTTTTCTGGAGAAGGGGAAAGGACCTGGAATTTGATCCCAGGTCTCATTAGTCCTACCCATTTCCGCAAGGGGTGGCCAATAGGCCACCATGTGCGGGACAAAAAAATATCTACTATTATTCTAAATTAAAAGTTAAAAAATTATAAATTAATAAAATTACACTCAAAATTTATAAACTTTGCAGAATTGTTGGTTGGGATAACCTCAGTCAATCCTAGCGTTGAAACACGTGGCAGCGCGAGAGCCAACAACAACTACCCCCAAAAGGCACATGAATGTAGCCAGTTACCTACCAAAGGGCAGCCCCAGATCCTGTTAGGCACCAACTCACGTTGACGTTGTTGTTGTTGTTGTTGTTTTTCGTTAAAAATAAATAAATAAATGCGTAGAGTAGATTCATTTTAATCAATTTTTTAAAATGATTTGGTAGTTGGTGGAGATGTTGGACAACACTGCTGGCTCCGCGTCATCTCATCATTTTCAGGGCTACGACAGGAACAGAACGCTGACTTCAGTCTTATCCATTCTTTCCAAGAATAGTCCCTGACATTTTAAGATTTATGAAATCAGGCCTTTGAGCTCTTGATTGTTACGATCAAGTTCCTAACATTTTCCCATGTGGTCGTTGAGTCAGCTTGAAGATTTCCTTAACAACTAGTTAAGAATCACCGTGCATGAAACAGGGTGTTTGAGACACATCACCTTTTTTTCACGGAATGTCCAAGGATGAAGTACAAAAACAATGAGTAAATTGGAAGCACCTCAAGAGAGAAGAAATAATTTATTAAATTAAAATGGAGAAAAAACTCAAAATCAATTAAGTAACAAGAAAAAAGTTTTTAAAAAAAAAACCACAGCGAAAGAGAAGATAAACTAAGAAGAAAGATTTATTAGATATAAAAAGTTACTTTTGTCGTCCCCTCATCAATTATAAAAAATATTTCAAATTTGAAATAATTCCTTTGAACCTCTACATAAATATGAAAAAGAAAGTATGAATTAAAAGTTCAAAAGGAAGGAATGGAGCTCAAATCCCTTAAAAATGGTTTCAGCCTTTCAAGTCAATTTGGGCAAACTAGTCACTAGAAGGGTTTTTCTTGAGTATAGAATCTTAACATTTTAA